TCCCCGGGGTGAGCCCTCCCCGGGGTGAGCCCTCCTCGGGGTGAGCCCTCGGGGTGAGCCCTCAGGGTGAGCCCTCGGGGTGCACCCTCCCCGGTGCGCCCTCCCCGGTGAGCCCTCCCGGTGAGCGGCTGGGCAGGAAGGAGGGCGGACAGCGTGTCTTCACAACCGCCTCCCAGCAGGGCCGGGTGCCGGGTGGGGATCAGGCTCAGGAATTGCCCCCCCCCCGCCCCTGTCCCCCCAAGGCCCCCTGGGCGGTCGGTGGGTCTATTGCTATGTCTCTGTCCCTCTCAACAAAGCTCAGAACCAAGCCCCAACCTGCAAGGCATTTGTAAACTCCTCAGCCTCAGCCGTACAAGAACCCCCCTCCCCACCCTCCCGGTCAGGTGAGAGACGTGGGCGGGTTTCTGTCACGTGACAGACGCCCTACGTCCCTCCCGCGGCTCCTCCAGCGCCTCTGGGCGCCTGTGTGCGCCCCCGGAGCCCCGCCAGCTCCGCTGAGGTCAGAGGTCACACAAAGGGCACAGGGCTGCTCCGGCAGCCGGTATGGCGGCCGGTGCGCTGGGGGCTGAGCGTCAGCCTCGGGGCCAGGAGGTCCCGGGTTCGATTCCGGTCCCGGGCACAGGCCAGGGTTGCAGGCTCGATCCCCATGTCAGGTGGGGCGTGCAGGAGGCAGCCGATGGATGGCCCTCCCATCATGGATCTTTCTCTCTTCTCCCTCCCTCTCTCTTCCTCTCTGAAACCAATAAAAGTGTATTTTTAAAAACATACCACAAAAGCCGGGACCGGTTTGGCTCAGTGGTAGAGCGTCGGCCTGCGAACTGAAGGGTCCCGGGTTCGATTCCGGTCAAGGGCATGTACCTTGGTTGCGGGCACATCCCCGGTGGGGGGTGTGCAAGAGGCAGCTGGTCAATGATTCTCTCTCATCGATGTTTCTAACTCTGTCTCTCTCTTCCTCTCTGTGAAAAATCAATAAAATATATTTTTTTAAAAATACCACAAAAAAACCAAAACAAAACAAAAAACAAACAATAAAAAAGATGCTTCCTCCAGCCGCACAGGACGGCTCGGAAGAGCAAACCCTGTGGTCACCGCCCGCTTCCGAATGGACAGCGTTTACAGAAGTTTTATTCGTATGTAACACGGCTGCTCCCACCTGACTCCAGCCACGCCAGTGTGCCCAGCACCCTCCTCTCACCGCCCCCCCCGCCTTCCCCCGCCCAGCACCCTCCTCTCACCGCTCCCCGCTCCCCCCGCCCAGCACCCTCCTCTCCCCGCCCCCCCCTTCCCCCGCCCAGCACCCTCCTCTCCCCGCTCCCCGCTCCCTCCTCCCCCCCCCCCCCCCCGCCTTCCCCCGCCGCCGGCGACGCGGGCTCGGGGTGCTGGGCCCGTCCTCCCTCCGCCCAGGAGGCCCCCCCCCCCCGCCCCCGTCCAGGAGGCGTCCTCCCTCCGCCCAGGAGGCCGCCCGCAGGGCCCCCAGACAGACCCCTCTCCTCTGGCTGCTGCTCCCGCTTTAGGACGAGGGGCTTCGGGTTTAGGGGCACTCGGGGCCTCGCCCGCTAAGCGGTGGCTTAAACTCCGTTCCCGGTTCTGGGCCCACGGCCGGTTCTCCCGGGGCAGACAGCGCTCCTGAGCTCAGGCGTGTCCCGTAAGACCCCTGGCTGGTTCTGCGTGTAAACCTTCACTCCGTTTACATACGTTCTCGGCAGCTGCTTAGCATGTGTCTTCCCATTCAAACAGAAGCGCCGTCTGGGGGGGCGGCCACGCCCGGAGCGGTGGGACGGAGCGGGGGACGGGCCTGGGCGCCCAGCTCACCGCCGGCAGCCGCTGGGCCCGCGCGGTGGGCGGCCCGCAGGCTCCTGGCTCCCGCTCCCTCCTGAGGCGGCAGGGTGGGGGGCGGGGAGGGGGGTGGGGGAGCGGGGAGGGGGGAGGCTGCACGAGAGGAAGAGCGAGCGCGGCCAACGAGGAGGCGGACGGCGAGCCGTGCCCGCGGAGCCTGGCAGGGACAGTGTCCCCTCCCCGCAGGCCAGCCGGCGCCCACGGCCCTGGGTCTGAGGCAGGGATTTTAAAAACAGATGTGTACTTTACTGACAAGAGAGGAAAGGAGGAGCGTGACAGAAACACCGATGATGAGAGAGAGTCACGGATCGGCTGGCTCCCGCACGCCCCCCGCTGGGATGGAGCCCACAGCTCAGGCGTGCACCCTGACTGGGAGTCGAACCGTGACCTCCCGGTTCCTAGGTTGATGCTCAACCACTGGGCCACACCGGCCGGCCAGCTGGGAGTTTGAATAGAAAAGGCCAGAAGGCCAGTCCGGGGGGAAATCACTGTCCTCTTGGCCCTGCACTAAGTAACGAGATCTCTGCCGAGTGCGACAGCACAGCCCTCCCTCCCCGTGACCTCCTCACGGGCCCTGCAGGGCCTCGAGGCCGCCCACGCGCTCTGGCCTCCCCCAGCCACGCGGCCACGCCGGCCGGCGAGAGGTTAGGTCGCGGCGCGTTACCTGGACTCGGGGTACTTGGTGAGCGTGGCCAGGCTGCTGGTGTACATGTGGCCGCCCACGTCGATGTGCACGGGCGCGTTGGACTTGGTGAGCTGGGCGGGCGTCGGGATGCCTTGGCTGTTGAGCGGAGACGCGGGCGATCTGGTGATCAGGGGTCTGGACATACTGGGCCGGCTGTCCTAGGGAGAGAGAAGCAAGTCAGACGGGCGTTCTGCGCCAGAGGGCGCGCGCGTGGAGAGGACACGCCGGCGACGGGACCGAGAGAGGCGCAGGCCTGGTCCGCAGCCTCCGGCAGCTGTGATCGGCGCTCGCGGCCGTGGGAGCGGGTGTGAGCAAAGCAAGCTGTCCCGACGGAGGGCGCCCAGCTCGGACCGGGGAGCTGGACTCGTGCTGTCTGCGGCCGTCCTGAGCTCCGGCCGGCTCCAGCCCGGGCCCTCGCACCTGGCGGCTGGCGCTGGCACGCAGGAGGCGGGACTCACTCCGACCGGAGCGCTAACGGCACTCAACACGCCCCCCGCGGGCTGAGGCCTGGGCGCTCTGCCCTCGCTTGGCAAACGCCCTGAACTCCCTGCCCCTGGGTGCGTGCTGACTCCCCAGCCCCACAGGTGTTTCCTTCCATCTTATCTTTTATGTTGTTATTATTATTATTATTATTGTTTAAATGTGTTTGTGGATTTCAGAGAGGAAGGGCGAGGGAGAGAGCGACAGAAACATCCGTGATGAGAGGGAATCATGGATCGGCGGCCTCCTGCCCGCCCCCCACGGGGGATGGAGCCCGCAACCCGGGCCTGTGCCCTGACTGGGAATCGGACCCTGATCTCCCGGTTCACAGGTCAACGCTCACCACTGAGCCAGGCCGGCCGGGCGGACAGGTGCTCTGCGAGGACGTGAACGCTCCATCCTCCCACGTGGCCCACGGGGGGCGCTGAGCGGACGGGCGGGAGGGGGGCGAGTCCAGCAGCTCTAACTTTGATCTGGGGCCGAACAGCTGCCCCCACATCATTCACTTTCCCCTGGGGTCCACTTAAGAAGACAACGAACCAGAAATCATCGCAAAGAGAACACCTCCAATCCAGACGCCCACTGAAGCGATGTGAAACGCGCTGTGAAAGCCGGAGAGCCCTCACTACTCCCTCACGGGGCCACCGATCCCCTACAGAGCCCCGCCGTGACACAGCCCGAGTTCTCTCCGCTCCTCTTCCCCACGGCCTCGCCCGGCTCCCGGCTCCGGCGGTTACTTTCACTCTGTCTGCGGCGGCCGGAGCCTGGGCCTCTGTGCCGATCCCCCACCTCACACCTGCCCCTCACCACCCCCGCGGACAGCGGGGCAGGCCGGGGCCGCGGGCAGGGGCGGCCGCTAATGAGCCGGCCCCTAACGCCGCCTCCCGCCCGCCTCCCGCCCCCGGGCCCTGCCCGCCGCGCGCACACTGTGCGCTTCAATGACTTCATTTGTGCAGAGCGCGCCCCGCCTCCCGTCAGGGCTCTGTCAGGCTGGACTGTCACCGCCTTCGCCGGGAAAGGAGCAGGTTCCGGGGAGATCTCCAGAAAGGCTGGTCAATGGGAACAGGCGCACCTGCACCATTCGATGTAATTCCTATCCTCCGATCAGGCAGCAAAGGGATTTCACACCATCCCGACTTTCCCGCAATTCCAACCTGGTTTAAAGTACATGTGCCCCACACATGTACACACATGTGCACACGTGTACACACACGTACACACATGTATACACGCACACACAAACACACGCAGCACCGTGCTAGATGGCTGGCTGGAGCAGAGTGCTGTGATGGATTCTGTGCAGACAGCTGGCCACCCTTTAGCCGGGTGGGGGAGTCTGGCCCTCTGGCGTGTGAGGCCTGGAGCCCTTCGGTCCGGCCCCGCCAGGGCACGGGGAGGGGGGGTGAGGAATGTCTGACCACAGAGCAGGCTGCTCGTTAAGCTGATGATGGTGAGGCCCACGGGTGCCAGGATAACCCTCCAGGGCGCAGACGAATCAGCCTCGGAGTCCGGGACCGGCCTCCGTGGAAACGCAGTCGCCTGGGGAGTGTCAGCTCGGGCCCACACCATCCCGCCGGCCTCAGCCGAAGGGTTTTGTAGGAAAACGTCACGTGACCGACCACGTGACTCCATCGCTTCGCAGGGTCCCCACCAGAACGCCCGCGTGTTCCGTGGGAGGCCTCGCGTGTTCCCCTGCACTCAGTGCGCACTGGGCTCCCAGCAGGTGGCGGCTCTCTGGTCCCCACGGGCTCTGAGCAGCAGAACGACCCTGGGGAGAGGGAGAGACCTTTTCTGACTGCACACGAGTTAAAAGAAATGGGAGGCCCAGAGGCCTTCAACATGGCCGGCTCAGAGGGCAGGGCTCGCCGCCTTCCCCCTCTCTCTAAACATCAACGAAGGCACATCCCGGGTGAGGATGAGGAAGAAAGTGAAGCAGCGTCGAAGCGCAGGCCGAGGCCGCTTTCCCAGAGTCTGAGCAGCCGCCACGACACGTCCTGGGTCAAACCCGCCACACGCTCCGGGGCCAGGGCCGGTTCTGCTCCGCTTCTCCTGTGCTTCCCGGGCTCGGGCATGTTACCTTTGGGAAAGTCTGAAGTGGGTGTTTGAAAAGGGAAAGACGTCTTGCCCAATCCGATCAACGAGCACACGCTGGGCACGCTGCTCCGTCACCTTCCCCATCAGGCCTTTCCGGCCGTCGGTCCGCGGAGGGTGGAACGGAGACAGAGACAAGCCTGCACCTGCGACGGCACGTCCCCTCGTCCCCGCAGAGGAAGTGCCCACGGGCGTCTCCGGGTGACACAGACGGGGCGGGCATCCCGATGGCACACGCCCGGGGCGGTCTGCCCTCTGCCCCTCCCGGCCCCTCGCACCTGCTCGCCGGCCGCCGGCCCTGGAGCCCGCAGAGGCCTCCGGGGAAACCGGAAACCTCGGCGCCCGGCGAGGCATTATCGCCTCTCAGAGCGGAAGCTGGATCCGGCCCGTAATGACCTGATGATGGATGTCCTGACAGCCCCGCTGGCCGCTGCTGGGCTCGGCTAAGGTTACTCGCCCCGAGGCCGCGGCTCTGGCGTTCCCCAGGGGGACGATCTGCCTCCGTCCACCCACTGGCCTCCCCTGGCCGGCCCCCCAGGGCAGAAGGCAGGGGCCAGGCTAGGACGAGACCCCCTGCCCCGGGCCCTTTCCTCCCCCACCTGCCCTGTAGCTCCTCCTCTAACTGCGGCCCCAGATGTGAACGACCGGACTCTCTGCCTCTGAGCAGACAGTAAACGGGACGGGCTGGCTGCTTGGACGCGGCCATAAAAACTCCTCGGCCAGGCGTCCAGCCAGCGCTGCTGCCCTTAACCGCCTCCCTGGGAACAAGACCCTCCGAAGAGTCTCAGACCCATTGGCTAGGCCAGCGGTCGGCAAACTCATCCGTCCACAGAGCCAAATACCAACAGCACAACGACTGAAATCTCTTTGGAGAGCCACATTTTTTAACCTTAAACTTCTACTGCCACTTCTTACAAACAGACTCGCCCAGGCCGTGGTCTTTTGTGGAAGAGCCACTCTCAGGGGCCAAAGAGCCTCATGTGGCTCGTGAGCCGCAGTTTGCCGACCACGGGGCTAGACTTTTTTGCATTAAAAAACAAACAAACAAACAAAAACGAAGAGACACAGGTTTGTGAACACTCTGGCTCCCTCTAATGCGCACAGTAGGTGTGCTCAAAAGCGCGTGCGCACTCTGGTTCACCAGTTTAGCAGACGCTGCTGGGCGCTGCGCGCTGAGGGAGCTGAGAGCCGAACCCGGAAATGAGCGACAGGCACAGTGAGTCCCTGCTGGTGAGAGCCCCGTGCAAATAAACATTTCACTTTATTTTTATTTTATTATTTTTTAAAATTTCTTTATTGATTAAGGTATCCCATATTTGGCCTCAACCCCCCATTCCAATCCCCCACCCCTCTCCACTCATGCAAGCCAGAGAGGGTCGGACCTGCATCACCACCATTTGCCCACCGTCCAGAACTGAAATATCATGGCTGACATGTGCACATAAGGAACTGTTTGACAATGAAATTGGGTCTCAAAAGAACTGTTGGCCGAGAAAGAAACTCACTACAGACTGATCCATATGCCTTTCAGCAGAACGGTTATTGCTTGTCTCGTTTTTTATTCTTATATTTGCAGTAGGACATGATCTCACTCATGTGGGGGAAATGGTGAACAACATAGGCTGATGACCGAGAACAGACCCAGAGAGAAGGAGCCATGGGTCAGACTGTTGGTCAGAAGGAGGGTGGGGATAAAAGGGAGAGATCAACCAAAGGACTCGTGTGCACACATAGGAGCCTAACCAGTGAGTGGTCATTTTATTTTTAAAAATATGTTCTCATCGATCTCAGAGAGGAAGGGAGAGAGAGAGAAACATCCATGATGAGACAGAATCACCGATCGGCTGCCTCCTGCACGCCCCACACTGGAGATGGAGCCGACAACCCAGGCCGTGCCCTGACCCGGAGCCCAATCATTACCTCCTGGTTCATAAGCTGATGCTCAACCCTGAGCCCTGCCGGCTGGGCCAAATAAAAAGTTTTAAATCAAGCCGAAACTGGTGTGGCTCAGTGGATAGAGCGTCAGCCTGAGGACTGAAGGGTCCCAGGTTCGATTCCGGTCAAGAGCATGTACCTTGGTTGCGGGCACATCCCCAGTATGGGGTGTGCAAGAGGCAATTGATGGATGTTTCTCTCTCATTGATGTTTCCAGCTTTCTATCCCTCTCTCTTCCTCTCTGTAAAAAAACAACAACAAAAAACAAAAACAAAAAAACCTCAATAAAATATATTTTTAAAAAAGTTTTAAATCAGCTTCTGCTCTCAGTGCCCTGGGTATCGATCGGCTTTGCTAACGGGACCGTTTTGGGTTAGAGTCCCCGGGCACAGCAGGAAACGCACTCTTCCTGGCGCTGAGAATCCAGGCCGTGGTATTTTTAAGGGAGACATCCCTGTATTTGGGCACTCCGCCTCACCGGCTGGCAGCCCCGGGCTGACCCAGTTCCTTTTAAAGGGGAAGACGCCGCGCTCCCGGTCGGACTCCGATGGGGCTTCCGAACCCAGACACGCTCCCGGGGATTGGGGACCACAGGCCACGTGTCCAAGGGGTCTGGCCCCGGCGGGCGATCTCGCCGCCCCGCCCGCCCCGC